CAGGAGAAGGAGCATCGCGTCGAGAAGGAGCGGGAGACGGCGGACGACGGCGTTGCTGTGCAGCATGCATCTGGGCTAGTGGGGCGTCGGCTTCATCCCGGCAAGGCTGCCCCGACGACGCCTCTTGCTTCGCCTGTTCAGCCAGCCTTGGGCGATCGTGGGCACGCGCGCCAGGCCGTCGGTCGGACGACCGAGGCGGCACCAGCGGTGGCCCCCACACCGGAGGTGCCCGTGGGACCGCCAGCCCAGGCCGCGTCCCATTCCTTGCCCAGCCAGTGCCTGGCCGTCACTTGCATCCGCCCTTCGACTTCCAACCTCCTGCCCAATGTTGGATGTTCCACGGAACTCGTCTATGCATCAACCTCGGGGCCTCGGGCATTTGGCAACAGAGAGGGAGTCGAGCGCCCTGGAGATTGAAATGGGAAATGGCAGCTCCTGGGGCTCTACCACCAAGCTTCTAGGCATCACCTCGGCGCGCATTCTGCTAGTCCAGGAACACACGTTGCTCAGCGATGAGTACCTCAGGATAGCTTCGGGCTGGTGTGTGCGAGACGGGTGGGCAGCTCACCGCATGCCTGGATCGGTCGGCCCTGCAGGGGGGTCGTCTTCTGGGGTCGGGGTCCTGGCCAAGTTTGGCCCCATCGGAGAGCAGAAGGCCGCGGGTCCCTCGTCCACCTCCCTGGCCTGGCGTCAATTTATTGGCGAGCCCCTATCTGCAGGGTTGCGCGTGGCTAAGCGATTTCAATCAGATTTTTTTGGCGACTGTCGCCCTGCGCGCCAAGAGCTCGGCCGCCCCTTGGTCGTCGGGGCGGGCGTCAAACCCGGGCCAGCTGCGCTGGCAGGGCCGCCCATCCACCGGCGCCCAGGCGCGAGCGCGGTGACCCTTAATGGCGCCCAGGGCGCGCGTCGCAGTGCTGGCGGCGCGAAGATGCGCGACATTGCCTGCGCTGCTCTCGCCTGGCCCAGGCGACCACCGGCGTGCAGATAGCGAGCGATTTGGAGTTGCAATCGCGGCGCCTGATATACTACAGGTCGCGGGCGAATGCGGTTGGAAAGGGGCCCGAAGGAACTTGCCAGTGCCACACCCCTCGCGCCATGGCAGTCGCGGGAGGCGGTCGCAGCTCCAGTGGGTCAGCGTTTTTGAGATTGGGAATGCCACGATGCACGGAGTGTCATCCGCGGCCCGCCTGGCCTCGCAGTTTCGCTGGCGCTGGCTCAGCGATCGTTGCAGGCATTGGCAGCAGCTCTGCGCCCTCGGGGCTCAAGCCGAAGAGCTGCGCCCCCCCCGCCCCCCCCCCCCCCTTTCCCCGACTTGCGCCCTCAGCGGTCAACTCGAGAAACTTGTCGGGATCCACCGAGCACGACTCGGCGCGCGCAGAAGCCATCACGAGGCGACGGCCGCCGAATTTTTGTCATCCCGCCTGCCGGGCTCGGTGAGTGGAGCGGCAAGGGCAAGTGCCTTGTTGTTGCGTTGTCAAGCCGTGGTCGCCCACGCCCCTACCCGGCTTCGCGTCGCTTTCCGGAGAGCCTGGGCACGCCCTCGACGCGGCGCCCTAGGCCCAAGATCCAATGCGGAGCAGGAGGCTCGTTCCGAGGACCTCGAGAGGTTGATATGTCAGTCGCGTTCCAACGTTGGGTCGGGGGCCCGCCGCGCCCGCGGAGTGGTTTGGCGGGGCCCTGCTTGGGCCCCCCCCAACCGCTTTCAGTTTTGAGGGTGAGGCCGCGTCGGGCCCCCAGGCCCCCTGACCTCTGCGCGCGCTACGTTTCTTGATCTGGAACAGAAAAGACGCGCGGGCCCGCCCTCCTCCAGGCGGGCGCCTCGACGTCCTTATTTTGCTGCCCGAGCTGCTGCCCGATGGCCTGCGACGCGTCTCCAGGTCTTTCCAAGGCGCGCGGCTGCGTCGGTAGGCGGCTTTCATGTCTGCAGGTTCCAGCACTGGCCGGGTCGGGATCTGTTCGTGCTCGCTCGTGTGATCACGATCGTTCCAGTCTGCTCTCGACGCAGAGGCGGGTGCTGCTATTGATCATGCTCGCCAGGCCTGACGGCGGGCATCGCCCGTTCGGCCCGTTCGTCGCGGTCTATCGGGCCTGGGCCTGCGCTCGACGTGGATTCGCTAGGTGGTGGGAAGCTGTCGGCAGCGGGGACGTTCACTCTGCCGCAGGCGCTACCACCTCCAGCGCGCAGCGCGGGCGCCGTCTGGCGGTGGAGGGTGAGAAGCGAGAAGGCGGCGTCCTCCGAATTTTGATTTAGTTTAGTGGAAGTCGACTAATGGAGAGGAATCACGCTGCCAAATAATCTCCAGATGTCGAAACATATGTCAAACATGATTTAGAACATAAAAAAACATGCTTGGAACGTTTTCCTATATCATGTTTTACACCTTCCTAGCGCACTTTCGATTCAATAGTAAGATAGTTACAGTTCCCATTGTTTTGGCATCCACAAGTCTAGTTCGGTTCTTCGGGACCTCCTGGAGTCCCATGACTCGGGGGACCTCGGCCTTTTGTTTCAGCGAGATCGCCCGCGCGGGTTCCCCATGCGCGCCGCGGCGTGCCGCGCATGTCGCTGCGTGGCCATGGGCAGCAGGGTCGAGGGGCCCGAGTCGCTTGGCGCGGCATAGTGGCAGGTTACGGCTTCGCGACCTCCTTCGCAGATGTCGTTCGCTCAGCGGCCCTGGACGGCCTTGGGCTGCCAAGATCGGCCTCGTTGAGAGTTGACATCGGCGATTGCTCTCTTCCCTGCCAGGGCGCCGCGTCCACGGTCGTCGAACGCCTCCTTGAGGGGGGCCATCGAGCTTCAGATTTCCATAGAGTTCATCGGAGGTGGATACCTCCTACCCTGACACGTCGATTAAGGAATTGGCCTTTGTCGGCTCGCGAGAGGGAGTCGCGCCCGTCAGTTCTGCGGGCCCAGGTCCGTCGGAATCGGTTCTGGGCCGTTTTCATTAAAGGGAGGTTTGCTGAAGGGAGTTTTGCCCACCGCCGAGTTCAGTCTCTGCCGTGCGATCGCTGCGAAGCAGGCGACAGTTATCGCCTCAGTACCCTCTCGTGCTAGGGCAGTGCGCCGACGTCTCGGGGCCGTCGGCGGCGCGCCGCGCGACTCGGCCTTCAACCTCGGCATCGACGCCGCTGCTGGCAAGCCCCGTCGGCTCGCTCGCCGCGGAGGGAGGGCCACGGCGCGGCGCGTTCACTTGGCATCGCTTGGACGTGTTCGTTTTTTCGCGGCGAGGACCACCGTGGAATTTCTTTGATCACCAATCGAAGGATTCACGTCCGAGCGATGGCGGGTTCAGTCTTCTAAGGACATCGCTCGGCTTAGGCGTCGCAAGTTGCCCCTGGGCCACCATGCCAAGCGGGTCTTCGCGACGACAGCGCTGGCCAGACGCACTTGCGGACGCGAGATGCACGGCGCTTTCGACCGCGGGCCTTCCACGCTCATACGCGCGCCGGGGCGCTTCGTTGCAGCCCTCGGCGGGGGGGGGGGGCAGATCTCCCGCCGCAGCTTGCTGTCCGCTGCCGGCCCCGCGCGGCATGCTGCCGTTGCCGAAGTGTTGAGGTGGTCGGGCCAGCCTGGTTGGGTCCTACGACTTCGGCCTCGCGTCGGCCGGTCTCAGGAGCGCCTGGGTCGCGGTTTTCTCTGGGCCCTCCCCTCTTTGGAGGAAGCTTCGCGAGTCCGCGGGGGCTCTCCATCTGTCGGCGGGGCGTCTCGCGTGAATGGTAACGGGCTTCGGCAGGCTTCGGCGCGCTCGTGGGCGACATGGGTGTGGAAGTGTCCAACGCCTTGGTGTCTCCCTCCTCTCCTCAAGCGCCTCCTCCGTTCCGCGGTGCTCCGCAATCTGGAAGGGGGCTGCGGGCGGTCTCTCGGCCTCGATTGCAGGGTGTGTTTTGACGTGGCCCTGGCAGCCATGAGTCCTTCGAAGGCCGCCCCTTTCCAGAAAAGGCGCCATTCGCGGCCCTGTCAGCCGAGCGCCCTGGGCAAGCGCGCGCCGAGGCGCGCGGCCACCTCCTGCCCGACGAGCGCTGCCCGTTGCGCGGCATCGAGCAGGACGCCACGTTTCAAAGGCTTTGGCGCAGTCAGCACGATCTTGCGAGCAAGCTCCGCGACGAGATTGTCGGAGAGGACTGTGCTTCTGAGCCGGGGGCGTTCCATGCGCTGACGAAGGCAGCGAAGGCTTTGCACGCAATGGGAACTTTCTCGCACCCTGGCGACACCTCCCCATCCCATCAGCGAAGGAGCCAACCTGCCAGCACTTTTGACCAGCCTGAGAGATACCAGTCGCGCCTCGGGGAGTATAAATTTGACACCTGTGGGCACTATCCCAAGAGGAGCACCTCTTCTTTTAGGCGAGAGCACGCGGGCATGCTTGTTTGGACCGCAGACAGTCAGATAAGGGCCATCGACAAAGTGAAAGGCCACCTTGCAGATGATCAGGCGTAAGGTAGGGAATGCTTTAGCTGACCACTTTGCAAAGTTTGGAAACCTGGCGCACGATCTGGAAGAAGGCCTGAGACTTTCGGCGGTGTAATAGCTGCCTCACTGTCTGTCGCGGTGTGCGTGTTTGGCTCCGCAATAATTCATGTTGCAACAAGAAGCATCGTCTCCAGACCGATATCCTCGAAGGTCTCGAGCACCATTGCATCTGATTGTCTTGTTCGGACGGTGGAATTGTTTGAATCTGCATTCGTTGCAAGGCTTCATCAACTGGTAATCGTGTGCGGTACTTGAGCATCACATGCCCACAGCGTAGCGAGGCCTGGCACAAGGCGAAAAGTCGCGGAGAGCAGCGCAGCGGTCAAACATACCCCTCCCCCCCCTCCTCCCCCATCCTCCTCCTCCTCCTCCTCCTCCGCTTCCTCCTCCTCCTCCTCCTCTTCCTCCGCTTCCTCCTCATCCTCCTCCTCCTCCTCTTCCTCTTCCCGTCTCCTCCCGCCTCCTCCACAAGTACACAATAGGAATACTACTCTCCATTCTCCCTTGATGCTGTCCGGGAGATATCTGGCTTCTTTTCCGCGTATTGTTTTTTTACACAGGATTTCCAGGAAATGGGTTTTCGATTGGGTCCGTTTTCAAGATGCTGCTCCCGCTGAAGCGCTGGCCCCATTTCTGCGCCTTCGGTTGTTCCAAATCGTGCTCCCGCTGCAGCGCGAACGTGTTCGGTCCTTCCAAATCGGCCCCAACATCCAGAACATGCCCCCCCGAAAAAATCATCGGAAGTGAGTACACATTCGGTGTCGGTTCGTTGATATTTTGGGCCGCAGAAGCCCCCCCACTTTGGGGCGTCGTCGTTTTCAGGAAGTATCAAGCGGCAGCCCCGTTTTTTTTTTTCGGGGGGGGATGACGACGTTGGAAACAGAGCCAGCGGGGGCTCCCCATCAGCCCCGCCTTGTGTGGAGCTTTCCGAGAGCCCAAGGAGCCAGACATGGAGCCACGACTCCAGACCGGCCCAAACCTTTCGAAAACGATCCATTCACCCTCCAAGGATCCCACCGCCATGCCATGACATGTTGTGCGGTGTTGTGTTCTGCGCCGCTGTGCGATGCCACGCTTTGGGTTGCAAGGTTTTGAGATTCAATGTTTCACTGCGCAATGCCACGCCATGTTATGGCATGCTACGCTCTGCCGTGCTCGTCTCTACGCCATGCCATGCCGTGGTCGACCATGCATCCCGTACCCTCTCGCCATCATTTCCCTGCTCGACATCCGACTGTGCGAATAGAGGGGGTATCTACGCCATGGTACAGGATGGGAGGGGGGGTAGGACATCATATTTGACGCGAGCGCACCTAGCTTGTCCTCCTCTCCCTCGTCCTCCTCTTCTGCCTCCTCCTCCTCCTCCTCCTGCTCCTCCTGCTCCTCCTGCTCCTCCTCCTCCTCCTCCTCCTCCTCCTCCTCCTCCTCCTCCTCCTCCTCCTCCTCCTCCTCCTCCTCCTCCTCCTCCTCCTCTCGCAATCGCCGCCGCAGGCCAGGGAGTCTGGGTCCCGTCCGGGCGCTGGCCGCAAAGCGCGCCGACCGCGGGGCCACGGGGGCTCCCCAGGGGGGGGGGGGGGGGGGGGCGGGGGGGGGCGATCAATGGGGGGGGCAGCGAGTGCTGCAGAAATGGAAGGATAAATGGGGGGGCGATCAATGGGGGTGCGATAAATGAGGGGGGGCGATGAATGGGGGGGCAGCGAGTGCTGCAGAACTGGAAGAATAGATGGGGGGGGCGATCAATGGGGGTGCGATAAATGGGGGGGGGGATGAATAGGGGGGGCAGCGAGTGCTGCAGAATCTGGAAGAAGCAAAAACGCCATAGGCATAACGTGTTGGAGCTCCGCGCGGATTTCTTGGATCCGCGCTGGGCCCCCCCAGGCGGCGCCCCTGGCGCCTCTCCTGGCGCGCTCCGCGCGCCAGGGAGCAGGGTCCAGCGCAGATCCAGCGCCAACAGTTTGTGTTTATGGCGTTCTCTCTTTGTCTAAGAAGAGAAGGTTGTCTGGGTCCCTAGAGGGGAACTGGCAGGGTCCAAAGGGCGCCTTTCGGGCCCGAGAAATGCACCTGTCTCCCCACGCCATTCCACGCCATTCATCGCCCCCGAAGCGTGTTCCAGAGGCCGACTGGGGGTCTGAGGTGGGCCAGCTTCTGGCGTCAGGGAGGTCTTTCGGCCTCCGGGGGCCGTTTTCGGGCCCCAGGTCCGTCAGAAACGGATCCAGGGTATCCGAGAGGTGTCCAGGGACTGATTCTTAATGGATTTGGACTCTCCCCCCCCTCTTGACTGATTTCCTGGGGCCCCCGCCATTTCAGACCTCCAGCGGCATCCAAGGTGGGGCAGGGTGCCCGCAGTGGGCGAAGTGAAGAGGAGCAGGACCTTTTGGAAGGCGACGGGGGCTTCTCAGAAGCCCGCGGCGCCTTCTGAGCGGTTCCGCGGTGTCTTCGGTGAAGGCCAGGGCCACTTCCCGGGAGGCTGGAGGCTTCCCGAGCCTCCTGGGCAGCCCTGCCGCCTCTCGGTTCCCCCCCTGGGGCGCGCCCCGCCGAGGTTGGGAAGGTATCCAAGCGTGGATCTGCACGGTTTGGGGCACCTCGTCCTTGCGGCCCCATACCTCTCGGGCCGGAGGAAGGGGGGGGGATTGGGAAAGGGGGGGGTACGAAATCTGCTGCATGCAGCTGTTTTCGGCCCCACCGAGGGGCCCATGCCTCGACACATGGGCGCCTCCCGGCGCCGGGAGGCGCCGGGAAAATCAGCTACGCGAGCTGATTCTCGCCCCCCCCCCCTTTGCTATCCCCCCCTTTCGCCCGACCCGAACCTCGGGGCCCCATCTTCGAGCCACGGAGGCCCGTGGGCCGCGCTGTTCCTGCTGGCGCAGCTGCCCGTGGCCGCCGCGGCGGTGCTCCAGGAGCCCACCAGAAGCCCCATCGCGTCGTGGCGAAATCACGACGGACGGCTTGTCGCCGTTTTCGGTGCCTGGGAGCTCCTTGCGGGGCCTCGGGACCTTTGAACGAAGAGTTAGGGAATGGGTCGAGGCCTCTGGGGGTCGACGGTATGAAAGAATCATGTCGTCGGAGGCCAGGGTCACAGGAGACTGGTTTCCAGAGTCGGGCGGTAGCTCAGATGATCAGTTCCGCCCGCCCCCCTCCCCAAAGATAACCAGGCCGTTCCAGCTGCGTGGGTGCGCAGTAGTGGTGCGCGCGGGCATACGTGGGGCTGCCCAGAGCCAAAAGGTTGGGACACCGGCCGGCAATTCCCTCCCCCCCACAAGCTCTGCACGAACGAAATGGGTACGAAAAGACTGGGTACAATGCCCAACAGCAGTTCCTATTCATTTTGTACGGAAAGAATCGGTACAATGCCCAACAGCAGTTCTTGTTCATTTTGAACAGGACTCGCTGTCCGCGCCGCCACGGCTTGTGTCCATTTGTTGAGACAGAAGGCCGCCTGCCCAACAGCGCCCGCTGTTGCTTTGGGACAACATTTGTTGTTGGGCATTGTGCCCACTGTTTCCGTACCCATTTCGGGCGTCCAAACAAGCTGACTGTGGCTATCGCTGACACATATATCATAACGGTTCCCAGAGGACCGCTTCCAAACCACTCACGCCCGAAAGGGCTGGTGGGACCATCCTGGCGACGGACCCAATCATATGCAAGTCTGGGTGCCACAAGACAGGTGGGACGAAGGAAGGAGAAGTCCTTATTGGGCCAAAGAGCGTGTGAAGAGTGTGCCGAAATGGTGAGGTGCCGCCATGAGGGCGCTGGCACTGGCGCCGTCAGTGGAACTGATCATGGCGGGGCCGCAAAGTGTGTGAGGGGTCTGCCGGCATGAGGCGGCGACGCCATGCGGACTTTAGCAGTTGGGCCTTTGTTGTACCTCCCGTTGGGGCCACGCAGCATGTGAGTGGCGTGCCGAAATTTGGCACCGACGCCATGCGGACCCTTGTATTTGGGCTTTGGCTGGAGCTCCCCTATGGGGTCACGAATGGTGTGAAGGGTGTGCTGACAGGAGGCACCAGCGCCATGCGGACCATGGAACTCCAACTAAATCTCCCTATGGGGCCAAGAAGCGTGTGAGGAGTATGCCCGCATAAGGCGCAGGCGCCATGCGGACCCTGGCATTTGGGCCTTAGCTGGGGCTTCCTCTGGGGCCACGAAGTGTGAGAGCGGCGTGCCGAAATGAGGCACCGACGCCATGCGGACACTGGCATTTGGGCCTTGACTGAAGCTCCGTATGGAGCCAAGAAAGGTGTGAGGGATGTGCCAGCATAAGGCGCCGACGCCATGCGAACCCTGGCATTTGGGCCTTCGCTGGGGCCCCCTATGATGTCACGAAGCATGTGAGGGGTGTGCCGAAATGAGGCATCGGCGCCATGCGGACCCTGGCACTTGGGCCTTAGCTGGGGCTCCCTATGAAGCTACGATGCGTGTGAGAGGTGTGCCAACAGGAGGCCCCGACGCCATGCAGTCCCTGGCGTTTGGGCCTTAGCTGGAGCTCCCTTTGGGGCCACGAAGCGTGAGAGGAGGGTGCCGAAATGGGGCACAGACGACATGCGGACCTTTACATTTAGGCCTGAACTGAAGCTCCTATGGAGCCAAGAATCGTGTAAGGGCTGTGTCAGCATGAGGCGTCGACGCCATGCGGACCCTGGCATGTGGGCCTTCGCTGGGGCTCCCTATGAGGTCACGAAGCGTTTGAGGGGTGTGCCGAAATGAGGAAGCGGCGCCATGCGGACCCTGGCACTTGGGCCTTGGCTGGAGCCTCCCTATGGGGTCACGAATGGTGTGAAGGGTGTGCCGAAATGAGGCGCCGACGCCATGCGGACCTGGAGCTCCCCATGGGCAACGATGCGTGAGAGGGGGGTGACGAAATGGGGCACCGACGCCATGCGGACCCCCGCATTGGGGCCCCAACTAAAGCTTCTTATGAGACCACGAGCCGTGTGAGGGGTGCTGGCACAAGGTGATGACGCCATGCGGACCCTGGCATTTGGGCCTTCGCTCGAGCTCCCTATGAGGCCACAAACGTTTTAGGGCTGTGCCGAAATGATGTACCGACGCCATGCGGACCCTGGCATTTGGGTCTTAGCTGGGGCTCCCTATTGGTCCCTGAAGCGTGAGAGGGGGGTGCCGAGATGCGGCACCGACACCATGCGGACCCATGGGGCGTGCCGAACTGAGGCACCGACACCATGCGATACGTAGAACTAGCCTTAAGCGAAGCTCCCAACGGGGCCACGAAGCGTGTGAGAGGTATGCCGAAATGGGGCACCGACGCCATGCGGACCCTGGATTGTGGGCGTTTGCGCTAAGGCTAGAGCCACATTTTGAAAAGGAGCCGCCCTCAATATGTGAAGCTCTTGCATCTGTTGAAACGACTGTGCGTGGCGCTCAGGCGAGAGAGACGTGTTGAAACGACCTGCCTTCAATGTGTGAATCTCTTGCAATTGCTTCAAACGAGTGTGCGCGGCGCTATGGCGAGTGCCACATTTTGAAAACCACCCGCCCTCAATCCGATAAGCTCTCGCAAATCTTTGAGACGAGTGTACGCGGTGCTAAGGCGAGAGCTACACTGTGAAAGCCACCTGGCCTCCCATTTGTGAAACTGTTGCCAGTATTTAAGCTTCTGGCATTAGAAATGGTAAGGAAGTCTCAGGCGAAACGCCTGGCCCGCCCTTCCGACTAGCCTCGGGGAGCGACGGGTAGGAGTTATCTATAAGGAACAGGAATGGAGGCAGAAAAACAGGAAGAGGAGGAGGAGGAGGAGGAGGAGGAGGAGGAGGAGGAGGAGGGGAATGAGGAGAGCCGTCTGTCTCCTCGGTGGGGGCGGGCTGGGGCCGGGGCCAGGGCCGGAGCTGGGGCCCGGGCCGGGGCCGAGGCCGAGGCTGGGGCTGGGGCCGAGGTCCGGCCATGGCCTGGGGGGGGCGGGGCCGGCTGGGGCGGGGGGCCGGTGCCCGGGCCAGGGCCAGGGCCGGGGCCGAAGGGGACCAGCCAGAAGGGGCACCATGGGATCCCCCCCCATCGGGGGCGGAAAAGAGGGGGGGGATGACTAAGCGGGGTGGATATCATGGCGGGGGCCATGATATCTCCCCAGATGTCGTGGCGCCTCTTCTTATTTTATTACGTCCCTGGCCCCCCCGCTGGGGCGCGCACGTGCCGCCGGTCATGATTTGCACCCCCCCCTTTTGGACACCCCGTATTTGCCGCTCCCGACCCCACCAGGACCCCCTCACCGAGACCCCCCCCAGCGAAGGGACACAGGGAAGGGGCTTCTCTTTGTTAGACTATCCCTGGCGACGACGACGATGCAAAGGAGGCTGGCGTTCTTCAGTTCGAGTTGGGCTGGCCTCGCGTCGAAGGGCTTCTTACACACGCCGACTGGGTCGGGGGATTCTTTCTTTTCCGGTTGCAAGACAAGCCCGCCGCAGGCGCATATATCGTTTCGCCAGAGCATCGTGGGTGGGTCGCGAGTGGGTCGCGGGTGGGTCGTGGGGTGGGTCGCCGGGTGGGTCGCGGGGTGGGTCGAAGGGAGGTCGCAGGGTTGGTCGCGGGTGGGTTTCGGGCGAGGACGACGACAACAGCGCAACAACGCAACGCAACAACAGTCCGCACCGCGGAACTCCATGTCAGCCTCGCACGCAGGGACAGTGAATGACCGTTCGGCCCCCTCACTCTGACAAGTTGTACAAACATGCGCCAGCCAAGACAAACGTTGGCATACTTAATTTAATCGCTTCGCTCATTCCGCCGGCCCCCATGGAGCGCTCTTTGGGGCCTCTTGGGGGCCTCTTTGCGGCCTCTTGGGGGGCCTCTTGGGCGCCGCTTGACTCCTTGGGAGCCCGCTGGAGCCGTTTGGGGGCCCTCTTGGAGTCCTCTTGGGCCGTGTTGGGAGGATCTTGGGGGCCTCTTGGGCCGTTTTGAAGTGCCGGTAAGCCGATAAGGCGGAGAAGCCAAGCCAAGACAAACGTTTGCACACTTAAGTCAAGTTGGGGATGCCGTGGGCGGCGTCGCGGGAGAGCGCGCGTTTGGGCCTAGATGATCAGAGGCCCCGGGAGGGGCCCCACGCCCTCGTGTTGCCCACTTCTTGGCCCCCGCGAGCAGCGCCGACCGTCGAGAGTCCATGACTTGCGCGCTGTGGAGTGTCCAAGGCCTGCGCGCATGTCTCGGCCCTGCACTGCGCCTCCGCGCCGGGGAGGGGCCCGGCGCCGGTCCAAGAGACCCGCTGACACTCTCCACCGTGTGCGCCGCTGTTCTGGACGCCCGAAATGGGCACGGAAAGAATGGGTACAATGCCCAACAGCAGTTCCTGTTCATTCTGAACAGGATTTGCTGTCCACGCCGCCGCGGACTGTGTCCATTCGAGACAGAAGGCCGCCTGCCCAACAGCAGCCGCTGATGGTTTGGGACAACACCTGTTGTTGGGCATACCCATTTTTTCCGTACCCATTTCGGGCGTCCAAAGCTGTGTTTTCGCCCTGCAGAGGAGAGGGTGTTCTCGGGCGTGCCCGTGAACGTGTTCCACAGCGGGCGCTCCAGAAAAGGGCGCCTCGCCCGCGGCGCGCCGCGCCTCTACCCGGCTCCGGGCGCCGCGGCTCCGCGCTCGGGGGCTCGAGCTGGCTCGGGAAGTGCCGCGCGAAGGTGGCATCCTTGATCATTTGGCGACAAAGCACGCACGAAACCGAACAAAACACAGGAAATGGACGTCCGAGCGATGGCCAGGTGAAGGTGGCGTGCGGTCGGGCCGAGGTCTGAGGTCCAGGTCGGTTCGGGGAGGGTGCCCTCGTGCTCTCTGTGTGCTTGTTGGATGGTCCTGTGCCTCTTGGGGGAGGGTGCCCTTGGACGTTCTCTGTGCTCTGGCCAGCGGAGAGGTGCATGCTCGTCAGGAGTGTTCTTATTATAGGTCTGGCCGTGGCACCCCCGTCGTGATTCTCAAGGGCACAAAAAACGCCCCTACCCTGGTTTACGAGGCGCTGCGCGCTGAACCTCCTGTGGGCTGACAGGGTAAACCCTGCGTGATGTGCCGCGTCCTGGCGGCTCTAGGCTTTGGGGGGTCCCAGGAGGTTTGCAGACCACGCACTTGTAACCCAGGGTAGGGTCGTTTTTTTCATCTCTGAGATTCCCCCCACGGTGATGGCAGGTTTCCGCGCCGTCGAGGATCCAGGGCTCGGCGCCTCGGGCCTCCGGCGGAGCGCGGGCGGAGGGCGGCGGAAGGGAGGCGGCGGCGGGTGCGCCGGCGGAGGCCTGCGAGGCCGGCGGGAGCAGAACTGAGACGCCCGCTTTTTGCGGGTCAGGATCAGCTCGGGCATGTCCTCCTACAGGCGGGTCTTGGGCGAAAGCGGACAAAAAAGGTCCAAACAGGTTCGAACAGAGCCAAACATAGTCAAACAATCGCCCTCAGACTTAACTTAAAAAAGAAGAGCAAAACTATGTATGAATTATCCTCCTGTGGAGGGGCATGCCCGACTTCAGATTAGGAGTTCGGGAGGGCCTCGCCTTCGAGGGATCGATGGGGGGCTGGCTCCGAGCTTCCCTGGCAGAGGGCCGGGTGAAGCAAAGCGGGGCGTAAGCCAGCGGAGGATTGCGGGCAGAGGCCGGCAGAAGCAAAGGTAACCTTCCCCCCTATCTCCGAAGAGGTTTCCTCTGCAGGGCCTCGAGTTTTTCTTGGTCGAAACGCATATCCGTAGCCGTGGCCTCGCGGGCCAGGCCCTGGGGCCGCGGCCGCGCGGATACGGGGCGGTTTTTCGCGGATGCCCCTCGCAGAACAAAGCCGTGCGACCGCGTGTCCGCGGAGTCGCTCCCCAGAGTCCAGACCGCGAGGGCGCGGATACGGACCGGCCTCCAAGACGCCCCCATGGGGCTCCTACATGCCTTCCGGCAGACACCGACAATGAACAATAGCTGATGTTCTATTTGTTTTTGATTCCCAACCCTCCTATGGTTGGGTATTCGTTTTGAATATACAGCAGTGTGGTCGCCCCGTCCTCCTCCTCCTCCTCCCCTCTCCTCCCCTCCTCCTTCTCTCAAGTTTCCTGTGTTCCCTTCTCCTCTTCTCTCGTGCCGTCTGCGATCTGCGCCACTGTCGCCGCTTTCGTGGGCTCCTGGGAGGCCCAGCGGAGGCACGTCCCACGCGGACCACCTCGGGACCTCGCCGCCCCCTGGGGGGCTTGCGATCTGCGAACTTTTGTCGCCGCTTTCGTGGGCTCCTGGGAGGCCCAGCGGAGGTACGTCCCACGCGGACCACCTCGGGACCTCGCCGCCCCCTGGGGGGCTTGCGATCTGCGCAACTGTCGCCACTTTCGTGGGCTCCTGGGAGGCCCAGCGGAGGTACGTCCGACGCGGGCCACCTCGGGACCTCGCCGCCCCCTGGGGGGGTTGCAAACTGAGCACTTGTCGCCACTTTCTTGGGCTCCTGGGAGGCACAGCGGAGGTAACACGCGGATCACCTCGGGACTTCGCCGCCCCCAGTTGGGCTTGCGATCTGCGCAGTTGTCGCCACTTTCGTGGGCTCCTGGGAGGCCCAGCGGAGGTACGTCCCACGGGACCACCTCGGGACCTCGCCGCCCCTGGTGGATCTCTGCGCAACTGTCGCCACTTTCGTAGGCCTGGGAGGCCCAGCGGAGGCACGTCCCACGCGGACCACCTCGGGACCTCGCCGCCCCCTGGGGGGCTTGCGATCTGCGCAGTTGTCGCCGCTTTCGTGGGCTCCTGGGAGGCCCAGCGGAGGCACGTCCCACGCGGACCACCTCGAGACCGCGCCGCCCCTTGGAGGGCGTTCGATCTGCGCAACTGTCGCTCTTTTCGTGGGCTCCTGGGAGGCCCAGCGGAGGCACGTCCCGCGGACCACCTCGGGACCTCGCCGCCCCCTGGGGGACTTGCGATCTGCGCAGCTGTCGCCACTTTCGTGGGCTCCTGAGAGGCCCAGCGGAGGCACGTCCCACGCGGACCACCTCGGGACCTCGCCGCCCCCTGGGGGGCTTGCGATCTGCGCGACCGTCGCCACTTTCGTGGGCTCCTGGGAGGCCCAGCGGAGGCACGTCCCACGCGGACCACCTCGGACCTCGCCGCCCCCCTGGGGGGCTTGTGATCTGCGCCACTGTCGCCACTTTCGTGGGCTCCTGGAGCCCAGCGGACCGTCCCACGCGGGGACCTCGCCGCACCCTGGGGGGGCTTGCGATCTGCGCGACTGTCGCCACTTTCGTGTGCTCCTGGGAGGCCCAGCGGAGGCACGTCCCACGCGGACCACCTCGGGACCTCGCCGCCCCCTGGGGGGCTTGTGATCTGCGCAGTTGTCGCCACTTTCGTGGGCTCCTGGGCGGCCCAGCAGAGGCACGTCCCACGCGGACCACCTCGGGACCTCGCCGCCCCCTGGTGGGCTTGCGATCTGCGCAACTGTCGCCATGCTCGTGGGCTCCTGGGAGGCCCAGCGGAGGCACGTCCCACGCGGACCACCTCGGGACCTCGCCGCCCCCTGGGGGGCTTGCGATCTGCGCAGATGTCGCCACTTTCGTGGGCTCCTGGGCGGCCCAGCGGAGGCACGTCCCGCGCGGATCACCTCGGGACCTCGCCGCCCCCTGGGGAGGCTTGCGATCTGCGCAACTGGCATCATGTTCGTGGGCTCCTGGGAGGCCCAGCGGAGGCACGTCCCACGCGGACCACCTCGGGACCTCGCCGCCCCCTGGGAGGCTTGCGATCTGCGCAGTTGTCGCCACTTTCGTGGGCTCCTGGGCGGCCCAGCAGAGGCACGTCCCACGCGGACCACCTCGGGACCTCGCCGCACCCTGGGGGGCTTGCGATCTGCGCAGTTGTCGCCACTTTCGTGGGCTCCTGGGAGGCCCAGCTGAAGCACGTCCCACGCGGACCACCTCGGGACCTCGCCGCCCCTTGGTGGGCTTGCGATCTGCGCAACTGTCGCCACTTTCGTAGGCTCCTGGGGGGCCAAGCGGAGGCACGTCTCACGCGGACCACCTCGGGACCTCGCCGCCCCTTGGGGGGCTTACGATCTGCGCAACTGGCCCCTAGGAGGCCCAGCAGAGGTAATTACGTCCCGCGCGGACCACCTCGGGACCTCGCCGCCCCCTGGGGGGCTTGCGATCTGCGCAGCTGTCGCCTGTTTCGTGGGCTCCTGGGCGGCCCAGCGGAGGTACGTCCCAGGCGGACCACCTCAGGACCTCGCCGCCCCCTGGGGGGCTTGCGATCTGCGCAACTTTCGTCATGTTCGTGGGCTCCTGGGAGGCCCAGCGGAGGTACGTCCCACGCGGACCACCTCGGGACCTCGCCGCCCCCTGGGGGGCTTGCGATCCGCGCAGCCGTCGCCATTTTCGTGGGCTTCCCAGAGCCCAGCGGAGGCACGTCCCACGCGGACCACCTCGGGACCTCGCCGCCCCCTGGGGGGCTTGCGATCTGCGCGATTGTCGTCATTTTCGTGGGCTCCTGGGAGGCCTAGCGGAGGTACGTCCCACGCGGACCACCTCGGGACCTCGCCGCCCCCTGGGGGGCTTGCGATCTGCGCAGATGTCGCCACTTTCGTGGGCTCCTGGGCGGCCCAGCGGAGGCACGTCCCGCGCGGACCACCTCGGGACCTCGCCGCACCCTGGGGGGCTTGCGATCTGCGCAACTGTCGCCACTTTCGTGGGCTCCTGGGAGGCACAGCGGAGGTACGTCCCACGCGGACCACCTTGGGACCTCGCCGCCCCCTGGGGGGCTTGCGATCTGCGCGACTGTCGCCACTTTCGTGGGATCCTGGGAAGCCCTTTAGTGCTCACTTTTTGGGCGCGTTTCTTTCAACGCCCCTGTGTTCCATTTTGTATATGTGCCGTTCCTTTTCTTGCTGCGCTCTTCTGAAATCACTGCTGGGTGCTCTTCTTGCGCACTGCGTGTCCTTCAGAATGCCAGTCAGCATTGTGGTCCTGAGTAGAATCGCCTTTGTATAGAAAGGGTTGGGTACGTCACAGGGTAATATTCCATTTGTTTTTGTTCCAGATTCTCTCGTTGTCGCTCTTTCCGCTTCCCGACGATACGGATCTGTTCGGTTCGCCGTTCGTGAAGATGATCCGACGCCGCGACTCTCTATCCAGTTGCGCTGCCGCGCTCGTCTGCCACCGCGCTTGTGGAGGGGGGGGGGCGCGCCTGGGGAGGGACGGGGCCGCGGCACCTGGCTAACCCCTGATCCTGTTTTTGGGACCACTCTGGTGCACAGCCGGCCCGGATTAGTAGGTCGACCCTGCCAAGTCAAGGGTACCCTTGTGTCCTGCGTCTCGCGACCCATGCCTCCTGCATTCCTGTGGCAGTGCGCCCCTCGGAAAGGGTCCTTTGTCCTCTCGCGCGTCCTCCCCAGAGAAGTCCGACTGTAGGAAAGCCACAAGCGCAGGGACTTGCTTGCACAAAGGAATGCACCTGGGGCTCCGTGCGTCGGGGGGGGGGGCCCTCACGAAACACATCGCTGGCAGGGGAAGCAGGGAGGAGGAGGAGGAGGAAGGGGAGGAGGAGAGGAGGAGGAGGAGGGGAGGAGGAGGAGGAGGAGGCGGAGGAGGAGGCAGGAGGAGGAGGAGGAGGAGGAGGGGGGGGAGGAGGAGGAGGAGGAGGACAGTCGCTACGTTGGCCAGCGTGTGCCCCCACAAGAAGCCCACGCGGCGCCCACGGGCGGCAGCAGCGGGCGGCCACGGTCGGCAGCGAGCGGCACCGGGCGGCAGCGTGGCGACCCCCCTCCTCCTCCCCCCTCCTCCTCCTCCTCCTCCTCCTCCTCCTCCTCCTCCTCCTCCTCCTCTCCTCCTCCTCCTCCTCCTCCTCCTCCTCCTCCTCCTCCTCCTCCTCCTCCTCCTCCTCCTCCCTCCTCCTCCTCCTCCTCCTCCTCCTCCTCCTCCTCCTCCTACTCCTCCTCCCTCCTCCTCCTCCTCCTCGCGGCAAAGGGGCGGTGGCGCGGCGAAGCCGCGGCGGACCCGCGCGGGGAGGGAGCGGGGCAACGCGGCGGCAACCGGCGGCAGCGTTGCGAGGCCTCGGCGCAGGTTGGCATCCTTCTCCAGATTTCGTAATACAGGGAGGGGGGTCTCATTTCGGGGGGGGTCTCTTCCAGGCTATCTTGGAGGGTCTGGGGGGGTCTGGGGACGATGTTTTGGAGGGTTCTCCCACGGGGGGGGGGTCTGAAATGGCTTGTCTTGGAGGGTCCAGACCCCCTCCCATTGATTACGAAATCTGGAGTAGCCGACCCAAAACCAATCGAGGCATCACAGCCTCTGATCATCATGCTGTCTAGGTTGATCCACTCACGGATCCAGCACTTCATCCTCTGCTCAAGTCGTTCCGTGCGTAGCATGCTCCCCCCAAGTGCGGTGGCCGGCATCTCGGCGGCAGAACTTCGGCGCGCCCGTCCAGCATCCGACTCCGCAGCAGCCGAAGCAGAGCTAGAACCCCTGAGCGCAAGCACGGTCTGGGGACAGGGGCCCGATCAAGCACCAACCGCTGCAAGCGCGGCGGCGGCCACGAGCAATTTGCTTCGGCTCGGGCCCCACCAGAAGTCGCAGGCGAAGGACCTATCCGTATCAGGCGGCCTCGCGTGCCCGGCCTCCAGGCCGCGCCCCCGCAGAGACCGGGCGTTTCTTTCGGATGCCCCGCGCGGAGCGCACCCGTGCGCCCGCGTATCCGCGGGAGCGCGCCCCGGAATCCAGGCCGCGAGGGCGCGGATATGCGGATAGGCCCGCCGCTCGTGAAGGAGCCCAGGCCCCCTCTCTGGGGGCAGCATCTCGTCCCGCACGTGTTTCGTTCGTTGGGGGGTGGGGGGGGGCGGCCCCAGGGCGCCGGGGGCGGCGACTGACTTCCGCCCTGATCTGTGGCGGGAGCATCGGGGTCCAGGTGGTTACGCTGCGGAGAAGGAGAAGGGCACAAACCCTTGAGCGGGCGGCGTGATCGCACGCGGACGCGGCTGGTGCCCCCACAGTCTGAACAAGTCGGGGGGGTGGAGGAGAGGAAGGGGAAGGCCAAATGGATCCCCTCAGACGCACATCCCATCCACGACGGCGCGGCGACGGCGCCGGCGATGAAGATGCACTTGCGCAGGTCCACGCGGATTTCTTAGATCTGCGCTGGCCCCCGCTGGCGGCGCCTTTGGCGCCGCCCCTGCCTCGCTCCGCGCGCCAGGGAGCGGGGCCCAGCGCTGGCCCCAGAAGCCCGTGCTGGCCTGCGAGCGTTTACGGGAATGCCGCTTTTCCCGATCCGTCCATTTCTAGAGCACCCCCCATGATGTTCTGGGCCTCCTTCTTCCAGTTCCTGGCCCTGGCGCTCATCTCAGGATGCAACTCCTGGGGGGTCACATTCAGTGTCGGCCCTGGTATGTCCGTGGTCGATACAGTCGGGGCGCTGAAGAAGGAACCCTTTTCGTTGAAGAGGGGCTCCGTGTTCCTTGATTGTTTCATAGCTTGCCTTAGGTTTTCCTACGAGCTTCGACGGGAAATCGAAGTTCAACTTATGGAAAAAAGGGGCCTCGTTCCTTCTTTAGGGTTCCTTAAGTCAACGCCCCGACTGTAACACGCCCAATCGGGCAGACTCCCGCCACCTTCTGCTCAGTCTTGCCAGTCGGCGATCGACGTTTGATCCCTTCCCCTGCTGCTGCCCCCCACTCTGGGCGCCAGTTGCAGAAGGGCATGGATGAAACGTCGTGGCCTCGGACTTTGTGGGCCCCGGAAACGGCAGGGCCGTTTTTTCACCGTTTCCAAACAAGAATGTCCCTTGAAAATGGAAACAGCAAAAAAACGGCGACCAGAAACGGCGAAAAAACGGCTCCAGGATTGGAGCCGGAGCCGGAACCGGTCAAAAAACGGCGACGGAACCGGTAAAAAAACGGCGTCGGAACCGGCAACAAAAACAGCAAAACGGAACCGGCAAAAAAACTGCCAAAAACGGCCCTGTCGTTTCCAGGGCCCACTAAGGCCTCGGAGGCGAGGATTACATTCAACAGGCTTACGCCATTCCGCCGACCCTCAGAAGAGGGATGAAGTCAATGGGTGAGGCCTTTGAGAGCCTCTTGGAGGCCCTCTGTGGGGCCTCTTTGGGGCCCCTCCGGGGCCTCTTCGGGCCTCTTGGGAGTGTCTTGTGCGCCTGCTGGCGGTCTCGGGGGTCCTCTTGGGGCGGAGGGCTCGGAGTGTCAGTTCTAGTTTCTAGTTGCCGCTGTTGGGGCCCTGTTGGGGCTCTGCTGGGGCCCTCTTCGGCCGTCTTTGGGCCCTCTTTGGGGCTTCTTGGGCTCGGGGGGGGGTCGTCTTGGAGTCCTCTTAGGGCGTCTCTGAGCCTCTTGGGAGTGTTGAGGATATCTTGGCTGTCTTCGAGGACTCCTGTGCGTGTTGGAACCCTGTTTGAGCAGGCGTAGATCGATGTTTAGGCACCTTGGACGCAACAGGGTGCAGAAACGAGGGCTCCAGAGGACCCGAGGGAGCGTTGATGAGCTCGTGGATCCCTCTCCACCCCCAGGCCTCCCCCCAGCCTGCCCCCCCTCGGATTCCAGACCCCAGGGGAGGGGGCAAGGGGGAGGGTAACAGCCAGTTATCTCACAATCCTTCTTGCATCCCTGGCAAGCGGGGGTCGACGGCTTCACGTGGGTCGGCGGGGCGTGAGCGGGGGCATGATTGTTGTCAGAACGTCGACCCCCAGCAGTCTCGACCCACATTCCCCGGGACAGGTTTCTCATCCGGAGTCGGTTTTGTTAGCAGTCCCGAGGCCTTGCATAGGGCCCCCAGAGGCCCCCAAAGTGGGGAAGAACCTTCCGTCGTGATCTTTTCATGACTGGGTCTTTCTTCCCCATTATTGTATTCCCTCCGTCCTCCTTCCTCCTCTGTAGATCCGAAGATTGTCTGGATCACTTTAGGCATATCAATGCCCATTCTGACCGTTGGACCTGCTCACCACCTCCAAGAGGTATTCCGCGGCGTGAGCACTTTGCCGTTGCAGAGAGTGTTCGTCGCCCAGAGGGTTGCTTTTGAGTTCTCCCAGGGAAACCTCTTGGGGCTCTCCGACCTTGTAGGGATCCTCCGGAGGCCCCCTCGGGCCCCCTGGGGACCCTCTTGGGGCCGTCTTGGGGCTCTCCTGTGCTGCTTGATGCCCTCTTCAGGCCGTCTTGGTGCCCTCTTGGGGGCCTCCTGGGCCGTCTGGAGCCGATCTGGGGAGCCTTTGGGGCCGTCGTGGCCGCTGTTAGGACCGAAAAAGCACATAGCCCGGAAATTGCTTACGGTAGGTTCGCGTCGTGTCGACCGGCGGCGACCCCAGCGTGGGCGTTCAAGGTTGAACGCCGCCGGCGACCCAGAATCGATCAATGTTGAACGATCGGACGTTGCGGCAGCGGCCGATCGTTCAAGGTTGAACGATCCCCGCGGTGTCAGGAACCACCGCCTGGGTCGACACGACACGAGCCTGCCGTAGCCGTTGCCCAGAGTGCTCGTCGCCCGAAGACCTCCCGGGAGTCGCTTCCTCTGCCCTCGTCCCTCTGGGCGCACCCTCCCTGGCCGGGCTCGCGGCCGAGCTCGCGGAGGCCTGGCGGCTGTGCCGGTCGGAGCCGGGCGCCGGCCTGGTGCTGTCGGCCTGCGTGCTGCTGATGCTGCTGGCGCAGCTGTCGCAGGCTCAGAAAAAGAAGAAGAAGAAGAAGAAGAAGAGGAGGAGGAGGAGGAGGAGAGGAGGAGGAGGGGGAGGTGGGGAGGGGAGGGGGAGGGGGGGGAGGATGAGGAGGGGGAGGAGGATGGGAGGGGGAGGAGGAGGAGGAGGAAGAGGAGGGGAGAATGAGAGGAGGAGGAGCTGAGGAGGAGGAGGAGGAGGAGGAGGAGGAGGAGGAGGAGAGGAGGAGGAGGAGGAGGAGGAGGGAGGAGGAGGAGGCGGAGAGGAGGAGGAGAGGAGAGTGAGGAGGAGGAGGAGGAGGAAGAGGAGGAGGAGGGGCAGCGTCAGTCGGGGGAAGCAGCACGGGGACCACGGCCAAGACGTCGCGGGGTGCTGATGCTGTCAATGCCGACCTCGGTCATGGATCATGTCAGCCGTGATTCGCGAGGATTATCCACGAACTGACGCTGACCAAGATCAACGGTGACACAACGTTTCCGCGTCCAGCGCCAGGGGGAGACATCGAAAACAAAATGCTGCGCAATCGCGCACTTCCGGAGGTCCGCGCGGATTGGCGCTCGGCGCCCGGGAGGGTGTCCAGCGCCGATCCCAGAAGTCCGCGCGCGGAGCTCCGGGTGCCAGAGCCGTCCCGAACGGCCGCCTTGAGAGCTGAGTCCTGGCTCGGAAGCCAGGGGGGAACCGCGGGGGGGGGGGAATCGGCCGCCAAGGGGGGGGGCAGGGGGGCTCGACCTCCAGTCGCGCACTCATCGCCGACGGGGGCCCGATGGCCTGCCCCGCCCAGGAACATGCGGACTCGCCAGCGGGGGGCCCTCGCCAACAGATGATCCAGGTCCTGGCCCCCCCCCCCACCATGCTGATGGTATTGCCCCCCCCCCCCGATGGGCCTGGGCCCCCCCCTCCCCCCCTGAGCACCCCCCCCCCTTGTGGTGTGGTGTGGCCTGTGGCCTGTGGGTGTGAGGTTATTTTCTGCCATCTGAGAAATATCGTCATCGTCGTCGTCGGCATCTTCGCCGCCGTCGTCGTCTGCCTCTTCGTTCCCGAGAGGGCGTGAGGTAGGGGGGGGAGGGACGACGACGGCGGTAATGACGACGACGACGACGGCGAGGACGACGACGGCGGCGACGGTATCCCCCCCCATCCCATCTAGGGGGGGGGCGCCCAGTCCTGGGACCATCCCATCTTGGAGGCGGGGGGCCGCTGGACCGGGATCCGGGATCATAAATAGCGGCGGTTCCAGTACGATGTTTCCCCCCCCCCCCCCCCCCCCCCCCCTTCCTTCCTCCTCCCCCTCCTCCTCCTCCTCCTCCTCCTCCTCCTCCTCCTTCAGCAAAGCAGGAGGGGGAATGACGAAGGCCCTTCGACGGGCGGAACAGTATAACATCATGCTCGAAAAGTACATGGCCATGGACGTAAATGACGAAGACGCGCTGAAGATGGCGAAGCAGGAGTTGGAGGAGAAAGGGAAAAAGAGAGAGAGAGAGAGAAAGAGATGCACGATATGGGCGATTACAAAGCGGCGAAGGAGAAGGGCGAAAAGCAGCAAGAGTGCCTCAAGGTGCTGGACTTCGTGGACAAGTGGATCAACAACATGCAGCTGTCCAACGTCTGCAGGACGGGGCACAAGATAGGACGAGAAAGCGGGAGGAGTTTGCTCGTGTGGGCTCGCATTCCCGAACTAGTTGTTGTGGAGAAGGCGCAGTCCCAACTCGAGGAGCGACAAGTGGCAGTTTTGTTGCAAGGTGGAGTGGCTGCATCTGGTGAAGACGCAGGGAACTCACCCGAAGAACGTGCTCTTGGCGGAATGGGAGGACAAAGTGAAGAACGCGCTTGGACCAGACTGCGCGACATGGCCACCGACCAGGTGCGAGAGCAAGTTCTTCCCCCTCAAGAGCGGGCCCTCGATGGTGGTGGGGCCCAACATGGGAAGCGGATGGCAAGCGCTCCTTGCGGAAAGGCTGCCGCATCAATTCGACGACGCCATCAAGGAGTGCCACTACGAGTTCTCCGACGCGGCCAAGAAGATGAGCCAGGAGGAGGTATTCGATATGATCCCAATGTCTTTCCCGATGAGGCACAAGATCGAAGGCTGCGACCTCATCACGAGGCACCCGGTGGTCCATGGGAGAGACAGGGGAAGAAGGCCTCTACAGTGCAGAGCTGGTGCGAGGTACTAGCGCTGGAGACCGCGAGGAACGAGGGGGGGAACCTCCACAAAATAATGAACGCCGCCATGAGCGAGCTGAAGAACGAGGACACCATGGACCAGGAGGAAGTGAAAGAGGCTGAAGGAGCGCCAGAAGCTCAAGGACAGCATCCAGACCATGCTGGGTGACACCGAGATCTTCGCGGAGAAGTTCGGTTACCTCAAGTCGGAGGAGACACTGGCGGCCAGCTCAATCGGCCACCACTGAGCGCACCCACTGGAGCCTGCAGACTGCCCAGAGAAAGCATTAGCGAGGTGCCTCGGAGTGCTGATCTCGGCAATCTGTGAGCTGGCCGTGCCGACAGGCAGCCAAGGGAAGCATTGGCGAGGTTTCTCGGAGTGCTAATTACTCATGGGAGACTACTTGGGCACAACAGTACGCCCGCACTGACATCGCAATGGGAAGTCTGTCTCGGAGCACCTTCAGGTACGCACCTGCAGGGTGGGAGGAGAAGAAGGTGAGCATCTTGATGCCCACCTGGGTGTTCCTCATTGGCCCTACCTATGACCGCGACTCCCCGCATGTTCTACCTCGCACACTCCGACGGGAAACGGGCGACCTCACAGAATAGAGCACAGAGACATCACATGGAACATCTCTCGTAGCGACCGAGAAGCGAGCTGAATGGAAGAGGGAGGCGTTGAGTTGAAACTGTAGATGTGGCAGGCCCCCCCCCCCTTCTTCCCAGCGACAGTTTGGGATCTCGGGCCTTCCGTTTCTCCCCTCTCTCCTCCTTTTGAGGTCGCGTCGTCGTCTCTTCCCCCCCCTTGGCTTGGGCGCCCTGCTAAGCCCGCGCGCCCCCCTCCCCAGGGGGGCCAGCAGCTGCCCCCCCCGCGCTGGCCCGATGGGACTCGCGATGTAAGGTACGGAGCGTCTCTTACGGGGCCACCTCGGAGCTCGGTCCTTGAGCTTCGGGGTGCGCCCCCTGCCGGCCCCAGTGAGAAAGCTGGGCCGCGGCGCATCCAATCGCGGGAGATGTTGGCAATCGTGCGTAGATCCTCCGAGTCGGTGCTCTGACGCCCCCCCCTCACGTGGATGTCCTTGCCCCCCCCGCCCCCCCCCCCCCAAGTGGCCGTGCCATGCTCGAACCGCCCAGCGCCACTTCAGGAATTCAGAAATGCAAGTAGAAACAGAAACATGACGCCATGTCGACTGATGTGCACAGCGGCGCTTCTTGGGCAGATACGCATTGTCATTCCGAACAGCGCCACCCGTGGGCGCACCCAGGATATACTGAACGAGCTGCACAACGAGACGGTGATGGGCCTGATAGGCACCCAGGAGAAGGAAGACCACATGCGGTACCCGAACTGCTGCGAGGCGATCATCAGGTGGATCACGAAGGCGCTCGACTCGCAAGCTGGCAGATGGATGCCGATTTTGAATTCTACTTTCACCGAGGAGATATGTGGATTCTAAGGGCCCTCTCGCCATGGCGAAGAGGATCGTAAATCAGCAGAGCTACTGCAGCCAGTCTTGCCGTACCACGAGCTGTGCGCGATGAGAGATACTAGTTGCACCTTCGTCTTTAGTGGTACTACGCGAATTCTGGATCATATAGCAATGCCGAATTTCAAGAGAAGCATGCGGCGACTGCAGGCGCATATATGGAGACGTGAGTGGGATTTACCGCTTAGCATTGGTGTTCAGTGGTCGAACGATATTACACTAAAGGAGCAAGTAATAATCGAACAGACGACAGCGAGTGCACTACTACAGCGAGGACCCGCGAGGGCTAAAAGTAAGACGGGCTACACGATGGAGGTGGCGGCGAGTCAGATATTGCAGTTATTGGCGGAGGCTTTGAACGCAGGGGCGACAGCAACCTGTGCGAGGAAGGAGGGCTACACCGAATCTCACTCGGACTATGCTAAAGAGCAAAGTGGTCTACTTCGCGAGCGACGAGCAGTGCGATAACCTCTAGCAGCACCATATGAATTGGAGGACGAAAATCTGCAGCTGGAGCCTTCATGTCGGATCACAGCAATCAAGCGGCGACGGGTGGAAGAGGATAGAGCACGTACCTTTGAGGAGGCACGAACACAACGAGACCTTCACGAAGTGCGTCAGAGGGTGCCCGAACACGCAGTGGCGGCCAATGAGACGCAAGAGGACGTGGGCGCATTCAAACATGAGTTTTGGAAGATGTGGCGAGCGGCGCCGCAGGAGAGCACTGGCGCACAATTACTTAGCGCGGCAAAGTTTCCGAAGAGGTTTGGCAAGTGGAGGCGGAAACTCAACTACGAGACGAAAAAGACACCCGAGGCCCCCGTCTACTGTATCATATGCTGCCTGATCAGGGAAAGTGGAAAGCTACCTTTATCTTGGATACTGTCCGATGAGAGCAATATTGGCAAAGGCAAGGAGAAGGAGGGCGCCGACGTCGAACGTCTGATCATGCTAGAGTGCACGCTGGCGAAGACTCACCATAGGTCACACCTGGCACAAGGCGCACCTCCTGAGCCTGAATCTTATGCAGGCCGACGACGAGAAGCAGCAGCAATGGTACATCAGGTCACCCATGGCAAAACAATCGTAGTCATCTGTCACACGTCAAGAGGCCCAACGACGCCGCATTCTACTGCATTGATTGCGAGGAGGTTAGCGACCTCTTTCGTGAAGAAGATTGGCAGAGCAGGAAGTTTTGAGCTACACTGGCGTCTGTCACGATTCCTGGCGATTCAACGGGAAGGGTGTTATTACAAAGGTGTCTGCCTGGCAATCCAGATTATTGTGGACAGAACTCCTGTTACTTGGAGGCTAAGTCTCTTCGGGAGCAGTGTACCGAAGCATATGCACGCGATCATGGACCTCGCATTCACTCCCGGTCTGCTTTATATGAAATGGAGTATCGACGGGCAGCGGGGAAACCAGCCTGGTACAATTCTGGACGACTCGGGAGCTGCAAAGTACATCACGGCTTGAAGTTTAACTTACTCAAAGGCCACGTGGCGAATGCATGCTACAGCGGAGCAGAAGCACTTTGCGAGATGTCAGAGCCCATGCGGGCACGATGGAAGCCCGTTCTCAGCTCTCTGGCAATGCGTGCAAAGATATTGTTGCGGGGGGCTGCCCAGAAAAAAAGAAGATGGTTCCACTACTCTCCCTATCCTGCAGGTCTTATCGAAGGTAAGGCTAGCAGCTTCGCGCGGGGTGATAAAAGTTCGACGGAGCAGATGGTTACAGAAGTGTCTCAACAGGCACAAGCGATTTGCTCACCATCTGGCGGTTGTTTTCGGGCACTCACGGGACGATGAACGAACCGAAATCGACAAGTGCACGAGCGAGGGCGTGATGGCGAGTCCATGGAGCGAGCAATTGTACGACATCAAAGCGATCGAGCTGTTCGAACATGGTGCTAGTCTATAATAGAAGCATATGGAATCGAGGAGATCCGTTTCGAGGGGAACGGGGATTTCGTTCAAATGGACGCGAGAGGGATTTGTGCACACTATTTCATTAAGCCCCGAGGTATCCGCCACGCAGATCGGGGGCGCACGGACGGCGCGTTCGTTCCTCCAAAGTCTTGCGAGTGCGCGAATATGTTGGGCTCGATCGCGATGGCCTCCGTAGACATATGCTGCTCGAGCATCTGCGGTCACACCTACACTCACATGGTCTGTATTTCCCATTACCAGGCTTTCTGTATCGCGCTGAACAGGACGGATACTTCCCTCGACGGAACGTGGCGGAGGGCTGAGGAGCACAGCGCAACAAGGGCAAGGCAGAGAACGACGGGCCCCACGCCAACGCCATTTGGAATCTCGCAGCAGGGCGCTGGAGTACGGAGCAGGTCTAGCTGTCTACGGCCCCAGAGATCACGCTGGGGAAGTACCAAGGCGGAGGGGAAGGCGAACGCTCACGGGCCAGAGTTTTTGAGTTTTGCTGCACTTCTGAGCGAGAAGCAGGAGCAGGCGCAGGTCTCAGGTCGCCAAGGATGTCCCCGAGAGAATGTCATCGAAGGGGGACGTGCCCTTTTGGCCAGCAGGTGGATCAAGGAGCGCGGCACGTCAAGGACAGCGGTCGGATCATAGTCAAAGTGCTTGGGTCTATGCAGTTCCAAGACCCAGAGCTGCAGAAGGAGTACTGGGCCGAGCTCGAGGATGCGGGGGGGCGGGGTGCAGAAAAAAAGGACCAGGCCGCCCTGCGCACCCCGTGAGCGGATTTTAGGAGGAGGTGGAGGCAAGTAGTGACGGTACAGCAGATGTTGTGTTCGGGCGTCTGGTTAGCCGGGTCGCCCCCCCCCC